ATTGTTCTTATGGTAGCGCCATTTCCATCAGTGCTAATAGACCAATTAAGTAACATGCTAATTAAGGCCATAGTCGTGGAGGAATTTGGTATTGCCCCGTATTGGCTGTCGTCAATGATACTCATAACTGCTGGTTTGACGTAGTCGTTTACAATCAACCCTTCTGCGACCTTAGAAATGCAGGGAGTAAGCGAGATAGCTCTTAGGTCCTTTTTCAGTTTCTTTACTGATTTCTTTTTGGGCAGGGGTGTCACGTCAGCCAACTTCCACATTCTTGGTAAGTGCTGCTCGGAGTAGGAGGCATTAAGGATTTCCGTCACTGGGAAAGCCACTGCATCTGAATATTCCTTCAGTAGCCAATTGGGAATTCTATCAGGCCCACACGCTTTCCCAGGGTTAAGGCGAGACAGAACCTTCTGAACACGTTGTTCACTCACGCGCAGGATCTCTATACGTGGTGAGCGTTTGTCTAATGAAACATTTTATAGTGAAGCAAAAGGCAACTTAAACCTCAAAGTAGATCATTCGATGGACTGTAAAGAAAATATGTGCTGAACAACACTGGAAATACTTTCAGTTGTAAAAAGGTACAGAAAAACTTTCTTTTATTAAATTTGCTTTGATAGCATAATGCAGTTGGAAAAAAAATGCGGTTGGAAAAAATAAAAAAAGAAGAAGAAAGAAATGAGAGAAGAAATATAGTCCGTTTGTCCTAGCTTACCTACGCCGTACGAGTATCGTTACCTCACTTGCAGGTCGACTAACTATTCCAGCGTCTTCCTTATCCCTACAGTTATGGGCTTTCCATCCTCCATGATGGAAGAATTAACTGTAATACTGTTGAATATGCAACGGCTTTCTCATAGTTCTACTTCAATTCTTGGTAAATATGGTTAAAAAAAGTCATGGTATTGTTACAGTTGTACTGTACCTGATGGTCGGCACACCACACCGGCGTCTTGATTATGCCTACAGTTTTCAACTCCCCATCCTCTGTGATTGCACTGTGTTATGGATGTCTCATTCCCCACACATTGGACGTTATCAAGCCATATCGGACCAATTCCTTGTCCAAATACTGCATTTTTAGGCGCTGATATGGCTCCATCATAACCAAGCTGGCGACAAACAACATCAGCATCTTGCAAGTCCCAATAGTGGCCGCAAATGGTTCCCCATGTACCTCTGTAAAGCACTTCAACACGACCAGAAAACGGCGAATTGTTGGAATTCAGTAAACGAAGAGCTGTTTTGGTGTGAACAGAAATAATCGTTAATTTAAAAAACTTAGGAGGACGTTTAGAAGAATATTGTAACCAAAAAGGGATTCAGCCTCTTAAATGTTCTATGAAAAAGAAATTCAAGTTTCCCACCAGCACATCAATCTGGCAAAGAATGCAAACAAAGAAGAAACACGACACTTCAAACTTCCATAACTCAAGATACATTTGAAATCAATATGCTCGAGTCCCGTTATCAAAAAAAAAAATATTCTGCAAAAGGTCGCCGTTTTTTATATATTCAATACGTACGTGGGATCAGAATGTTTTCATATCGGCTCTATCTTCAGATCCACCAATGACTCTTCATTCTTTGGAACACTTCGAAATGTGCTTATCTAGACACGGTTGCAACTAAAGAACATTCTCTTTATTTGCGACTTCGATTCTGATTTATTACAAAGACAATTCAACAAATAAGCTGA